GGGGTAAATAGGTGGGTGGATGGAGGGAGGGAAGGAGGGATGAATAAGTCGGTGGAGGGAGGGAGGGGGTGAATAGGTGGGTGGAGGAGGGAGGAGGGAGGGTGAATAGGTGGGTGGAGGGAGGGAGGGAGGGAGGGAGGGGTAAATAGGTGGGTGGATGGAGGGAGGGAAGGAGGGGTGAATATGTGGGTGGAGGGAGGGAGGGAGGAATAAGTCGGTGGAGGGAGGGAGGGATGGAAAGGTGAATTAGATGGGTGGAGGGAGGGAGGGGTGAATAGGTTGGTGGAGAGAGGAAAGGATGGATGACGGTTGGGAGGGTGTGTGGATAGGTGGACGAGTGGGTGGAGAGGGAAAGGACGAAAGCAAGAACGATAGACGGAGGATACAGAGACAAAAAATAATCTAAAACAATCTAAAAACAAATTCAAACAAAAATAGAGCAAACAAACACAAACAAGAAACCCACCCACCCACACACACACACACACACACACACACACACACACACACACACCACACACCACACACACACACACACACACACACCACACACACACACACACACACAACACACACCACACAGACGCCCTCTCCCAAAACCGGAATCTCGACATCCACACCCTCATCTCACGGCAGTCACGCCCCTACTACGTGCCTGTAACAACTGAAGGTGCGTAAGCGAGACGGTTCAATTTGCACACTTTGTTTGACTAACCGATCATTGACTCTTGTTCTTGTTCCAGGGCGAGTCAATATTGCTCTCTCTCTCTTGTATGTTTTCTGTTGTTCTTTTGTTGTTGTTGTTGTTTTTCTGATTTTTTTGTGTGTGTCTTGTTCTCTCTTTTTTTCTCTTCTTCTTTCTTTTTTCTTACTTCGTCTTCTTCATTTCTTTTCTTCTGCTATTTCTTCTTGCTCTGATTCGTGTGCGTGTTCTTCATCTTTTCTTCTTATGCCTTTTTTCTAATTATTATTATCATTATCATTCGTCACACATACACACAAATGATGTATATTTAAAAAAACATATTTTATAACTGATAACTATGTATAGTTACTCCCTCGCATATGAATAAGAATGTCACACAGGTACACTATATTTTTTCATCTAACTTTTCTATCTAATTATCTATATTTAGAGTTCTTACTTTAAAATGACACTCATAAATGAACACTTATTTTTCATACTTTATCCATTTATTTTCTTCTTTTTTTATCATGTATACTGCATTCGGTCTTTCTGCTTCCAAGTTGTATGTCTTACTTACACAAACCAAAGATCTTATATTGTCTGATGTTTCTCGTATCAATCAAAGTGAAATAAAAACCATTTGTGTCTACAATAATTCAATCAGTGAATATACATGTAGATATCTAAATATATAAATTATTGCCTATCTTAGTATACATGTAGATAGCTGATTATATAAATGAAGGCCTATCTATCTTCTTAATATTCTTATAGATAGCTAAACATATAAATAATTAATTTCATAAATAGTTGTACGAATATCTGCTCAATAGACATATAGATAGCTAAACATATTAGATCCATTGAATGAATGTATTAATATCTCCTGAGTGTATTTATAGATAGCTAAACATAGATTATCAAAATCATTTAATGTATGAATGTATTAATATCTCCTGAGTGTATTTATAGATAGCTAAACATAGATTATCAAAATCATTTAATGTATGAATGTATTAATATCTCCTGAGTGTATTTATAGATAGCTAAACATAGATTATCAAAATCACTTAATGTATGAATGTATTAATATCTTCTGAGTGTATTTATAGATAGCTAAACATAGATTATCAAAATCACTTAATGTATGAATGTGAATACATATAGATAGCCAAACATATAAGTGATTAGATTCATTAAATAGATGAACGTATAGACATCTTCTGAATAAACATGGAGATAGCTGAACGTATAAATGATCAAATTACTTGAATAGATGAATATATTAATATTCCCTCGTTCCCTTTTCCTCGTGGATCTCCCTCACAATGCATTACTTACCTTCATGGCGACAAAAAAATCTCAAAATCCTAAAGTGATCTTGTCGGTGCCAATTTCCAGGCGCCACTGCACGTCTTGCATGCATCTGGGGCCTTTATATACTCTCAGGGGGAGGCGCGAAGGGGCTAGTGGGCTTGGAAGGGGGAGGAGGGAGAAGGAAAAAATAAGGGAAGTGGGGTATGGGGGGAGAGGAGGAGGGGGTGGGAAAGGTGGGGAGGGGATGCGAGGGTGAGAGGGGAGGAAGAGACGGGGGAAGAAAGAATAGGGGGGTGGGCAGGAGATGAGCAAAAGGAGGAGGAGAGGAAAGAAGGAAAGGAGGTAGGTGAGGGAGGGAAGGAGAGAAAGAGAGAGAGAAGTGGAAGAGAAAGAGAGTGGAGAAAGGAAGAACAAGTACAATTTACTTAACTGACTCTACAATTTTTGCTGAAACTCAGATTTACAAGACAGTATCATTATTGCTATTGATATCAATATCATATAATATATCATAACATCATCATTATCATTATTACTACCATTATCATTATCACCAGTATTAATTACTATATCCATTCTCCTTCACTTCACTAATGGAATTTATAAAAAGGATGATAACTAACCAACAAATATGCGAAAAGAAAAAGAAAAAGGAGATTAATTTGTGAAGCCATTAACCTAGGAAATCTAACAGTTGAAAAGTCGGTTGCAGTGTTGCATTTGAAAGCGAAGAACCAAAGCATTTGCAAGCGTTTTCGTGCTGTTTGCATAACTGTTGAAGGTAGCCGTTACAGCAATGAACTCAAATTAACCGTTTATTATATATTTTATATATATTATTATATATTGTATCTTAATTACGCGAGAAAGGGAAAGAGAACAATATGAATATATATATTTATCAATTAATAAGAGTTTGCAATGTACTTCTAATATATCATAGATCATTATTAAGCTTCTTTGCTTGCAGTAGATGCTCACGATGATACATGATGAAAATACACGGTAAAAATATATGATAAAAACACGGTGAAGATACATTATAAAAACACGGTAGAAATACATGATGAAAAGCACGGTGAAAATACATGATGAAGATGGATGACGAAAATACATGATGCAAACACCATAAAAATTATTTTTTCTATTTTGGAGTAGTTGGGGTGATTTGCATTTTTTTTTTTTTTAATCGAGGCGACAGAAAACCTTGATGCTTTCTCTGTCTTTTTGTCTGTTTGTCTGACTCTTTTTTCTTCTCTCTCTCTCTCTCACTCTCCCTCTTCTCTTCTCTCTCTCTTCTCTTCTCTCCCTCTCTCATTTATCATCTCTCACGTGTAAAATCTCTCTAAAAAAAAGTCCAATTCTCAGCTTTGTAAAGCGTTGTTAGTGCCCGTTCTCTTTTGTTATTCTAAACATCTCGAAGTCAAACAAATGGCATATCTGTAATAGATAGATACGTGATAAATCAATAGCAGACAAAGATGATATTATGTGCATGAGCATGTAAGAGAAATAAAACCACTTTCCGGAGTATTTAATAGAAAATGCAATCGTGATGTGTCTGAGTTATACATCCAGCTGTGCCTTTTCTTCTCAGCAAGTTTCATTTTGTGTTGCTGTTAGATGTTCTTTGGATCAGTTGTTTGATTTTTTTTTTTTTTTCTGAATAAAATCTGGCGAGGACCCAAAGAAATACCTAAGAATAGTTTGTACCATTGTGTCACCAGTGGCCGGAGCAATCTGGATTCACTCCTGTTAAGTCCACAGTAGACCGTATCTCGGCGCTTCGAGTCACTGTAGAGCGCCGTCGCGAGTTCGGGCGTGGGATGCTTGCGGCCTACATCGACCTCAAGAAGGCGTTGGATACGGGGCATCTGGAATCACTCTGGTAGATCCTGATATTAAGAGGAAATATTAAGAGGATTATTGGATTAATAGCAAGTATATATACTGGTTCTGAGTGCTGTAAAGTGTGGTAGAGGCCTGTCGAGCTTCTTTCCTGTTAGTTCAGGAGTAAGGTAAGCACTCTTGGACTGGATACTAGGCAGAGCTACTGCCCAAAGTCATTGTGGAACAACTCTAGGCAATATAAAGGTACTGACCTTGATTTTACTGATGATGTTGCTATTCTGTCTGAGTCGTTGGAAACCCTCGTGGTGGCTCTAGATGCATTTAGCAATGAAACGAGGCCCCTGGGCCTAGACGTCTCTTGGACTATGACCAAAATCCAGGTCTTTGGGGACTTTCTAGGGGAACCTGTTCGGTCGGTACGTGCTTGCGGCGAGGACATTGAAGTCACAGAGGGCTTTAAATACCTTGGTAATGTAGTTCATAACTATGGGCTGTCAGACCAGAATGTCAGTAAACGAATTCGTCTAGCAGCAGGGCTCATGAACTCTCTCGACAAGAGTATTTGGAGATGTCGGTACCTGTGCAGAAGGACTAAGCTACGTGTTTTCAAGGCCTTGATAATGCCACTTTTACTATACGTTAGTGAAACCTGGACTCCTGCACCTTGGAGTCTCGTCTTGATGCCTTTTGTAATATGTCCTGGGGTACTGCTGGCGGGATCACGTGTCCAACCAACGGTTGCACCATGAGACCTATTGCACAATCCGTGATCGCCAACTCAGGCTATACGGCCACGTGGCTCGCTTTCCTCAGGATGCTGCTGCCCACCAGGTTGACTCTGTACGAGACAGCCCTGGGGGGAGGAGGCCTGTGGGACGACCTAGGAAGTCGTGGCTTGGTCTGATTAATCAATCCTGTCGTGAGGAGCTTGAGACAGGCTCGCCATGAGGAATATTCGTAGGTGGAAACGCAGGATGGCTGCGGCTATGCCTCCCCGTCGGCGTTAGCTCTCAATGACGATGATGATTGAATTAAATTTCCATAGACAGTGTGAAGTATTGTATTTAGCTATTTCTTTGAAATTTAGCTTGGTAACTTTGAGCAAGACGAAGTTTAAAGCTAGAAATATGAATATACAGCCCTTTAATCTCAATTCTGTTGCATTATCATGTCTCTTTCTATTCATGGAAGAGAAATACTTTCCTTGAAGTGACAAAGGAACTTGCGAGATTTAGCCTGTGAGATAAAATCAGAGTTGGTATCTCTTTTCAAATCTCCACATTTTCCAGGTAGAATTACCACCAGAAGCATGTGATTTTTTTTTTTTTTTTTAGTCGATTTCTTTGATGAATCAAATTCAGAAATATTGCGTAGACAGAGGTGCGTGGCCTGCGGTTTGGAGTCATCACATTTAAGAATTAGAACGCATCATTTTTATCTTTTTGTATCCGTGTATTTCTTAATTGTTAGAGAAAACGAGGCAATTTGATATTTTTTAACATGTAATTACAGTATAATACGTTATATATAATCATAATATAAAACAAAAAATTGTGCTTATTGGGGTAAAATAAAAACATTATGCGTTTTATTCAGTTGTTTTATTGATAAAACAACAGAAAAGCTCTCTCGTAGGTATGTCATATTCAAATAATTCAAGACCACTGGTATCACATCTTTGAAAAAACGTTTCTCATTGGAAAATTAGAAGCTTCCACCTCTAACATTAAAAAATATGACCTTTACCTCTTAAAGAATAAATAAAAATAATTCTCCAAGTGCTCCTTCTGTTACAAATATTTCCCATGATTTTGCAAATACTGGAAGATATTTGTCCACTTTGCCGGATTTTTGAAGTTTTACACCCAACCCCTCCATAGACAATTAGACATGTTTTAACCACGTCCTAACAGTATAATACGTCATATGTAATCACGATATTAATGTAAGTTTGTACTCATAAGGGTAAAATAAAAATATAATGCGTTATATTCAGTCATACTTTATTGATAAAACATGAACTGTCCACTGTATATTTTTGTTATTTGTGTTGTATACAGAAGGTTAATATTAATACTGATATCATTATTTTTTTATGATTATTATGAAAATACTTAGACATATAAGATTTGAAATAATTATACCGAAAATCAAGGAAAAGATTAAACAGTTGAGATAGTTTGAACTAGGAATTGACTTCAAGGTGTCTAACGGCCAGTATGTTAAATTGTTCATATATGCAGACATGTATATACACATAAATAGATGCATATCTGCCTTTCTATCTGGTAAATAATTTATCTACCTATCTACCTGGTATATATGCGTGTCAAGATTGACAGATATGCATTTATTTTGTGTGTATGTATGAATATCCATTGGATCGGACCGCACAAATTTAACAAACCGTTCGTAAATACTTCTGGAGTCACCTATGTATACAAACAATCAAGCAACAACGAAAAAAGCAAGAAAAAAACTTAAACTTAAAGCCACACCATACTGGGTAATTTTAAACACAAACTTCCATAATTGTTCTTAAAATAGGATTGAACACTAACGGAAGTGATGTCATTTGTCGAGGCGGGAACTCGACTCTCTCTCTCTCTCTCTCTCTCTCTCTCTCTCTCTCTCTCTCTCTCTCTCTCTCTCTCTCTCTCTCTCTCTCTCTCTCTCTCTCTCTCTCTCTCTCTCCTTCTTTTCATACTTTTAATCTCTTCTATCCATCTGTCGAACTAATGAAATTTCATACACCATACACCCCCTCCCCTACCCATTAACCACCCATTCTCCCAATAACAACCATTACTTCAACAACAATCGGTGATCTGTCGGTACTTCAAGCCGAAACCACGATTTGCAGTGTCCGAATATTCGTCTGCATCAGTGTGCACGTACATGACAAAGGGTTTCATGGTAGCTGAAAATGATTAAGGAAATATACCTAAGCGTTCCTTGGCAGCTGAAAATAATGAATTAATTATACTACAGGGTTTTATGGTAGCTGAGGATAACAAGGGAAATGGACTAGGAATGAGCATAAGGTTTCATGGTAGCTGAAAATAACGTGCTAAATATACTAGGAACGGGCATTGGGTTTCATGGTAGCTGAAAAGGACGAGGGAAATATACCAGAAACGAGCATAGGGTTTCATGGTAGCTGAAAAGACGAGGGAAATATTCCAGGAATGAGCAACAGGTTTTATGGCAACTGAAAATGACCAAGGAAATGTACCAAAGGGTTTCATGGTAGCTGAAAATATAAGAAATATACCAGAGGGTTTCCTGGTAGCTGGAAGGAATCAAGGGAGAGTATACCACCAATGAGAGAATTCTGATATGCTGGACAGTATGTCATGTTATTATATATCAAATCATGTCTTTTGATTACTCTGTAAGTGACTACGATTCAACAGACTAGGGATGTTGGTCTTCCATGTCTGGTCAGAGAGAGAGAGAGAGAGAGAGAGAGAGAGAGAGAGAGAGAGAGAGAGAGAGAGAGAGAGAGAGAGAGAGAGAGAGAGAGAGAGAGAGAGAGAGAGTATGTGTGTGTGTGTGTGTGTGTGTGTGTGTGTGTGTGTGTGTGTGTGTGTGTGTGTGTGTGTGTTAACAAGTTTACCTCCCAACCTCTATTCAGTACTTATATATCAGACTATCTACCAATCTATTTCTATATGTGAGTGCGTGAATGAATGAATGAGTAGGTGAATGAGGGAATGAATGAATGAATAGGTGAATGAGTGAATGAATGAATGAGTACGTGAGTAGGTGAGTGAATGAATGAGTACGTGAGTAGGTGAGTGAGTGAATGAATGAATGAGTATGATAAGTATGTGAGTGAGTAGGTGAGCGAATGAATGAGTGCGTATGAGTGACTGCCCATGACCAAATAAAAGCCCCGTCCCCGCAACTCACAGGTGACGGAGTCCGGGAACCCGAGGCCGCAGAACCTGTCCGCCGAGTTCTGGTTGTTGTCGACGCCGCCCGGGATGATCACGTAGTCGGTCGTGCACGCCGCCCCCGTGGCACCCGCTCCCGCCGTGCCTAAGGGGGGGGTTGGGGGGCGTGAGGCAGTCAGGCGGGAAGGAAATGGGCGTGAAGCAGCGTCGATGATTGGCAGAGAGGTGATCATAAAGAAATTTTAAGGAGAGAGATTATATAAAACATTAATTTATAGTGCTGGCTTCTTGTGGTAGTTTGCATCGGATATTCTGTTGAGTATTGGATAATGAATAATAAAAAAAATGCAAACAGAGAAAGAGAAGAGACAAAAACAGACAAATTTAGAAGAACTTATAAGAGAGAGAGAGAGAGAGAGAGAGAGAGAGAGAGAGAGAGAGAGAGAGAGAGAGAGAGAGAGAGAGAGAGAGAGAGAGAGAGAGAGAGAGAGAGAGAGAGAATGAGAGAGAGAGAGAGAAAGAATGAGAGAGAGAGAGAGAACGAGTAAAAGAAAGAAAGAAAAAGAAAACAAGGAAAGAAAAAAAAGAAAAAAAGAGAGAGACAGAAACACAGACACACACAAACACAAAAAAAACAGAGAAAATGAGAGAAAAAACAACAACAACAACAACAGCAACAACAACAATTAAAAAAAAAAAAACTGCTACCCATACCGACAAGAGTGGGATCAGTAGCCTGCACATTCCCACTGAGTGTGAAAGCGTTGTTCCCGAAGGCAGTGACTCGCTCCCACATTATACCACAGTAACCCTCTTCCGGTTTTATGCAGACGCCGTAGTTCAGTCTGGCGATCTCGCTGTTCACTGAGAGATAGATAGATGGATGGATAGATAGATCGATGGATAGATACATAGATAGGTCGATGGATAGATGATGATAGATGGATAGATAGATAGATAGATAGATGGATGGATGGATGGATAGATAGATGGATGGATAGATAGATGTATAGATAGATAGATAGATGGATGGATGGATGGATAGATAAATAGATCGATGGATAAATGGGTGGGTAGGTGGGTGTGTAGGGTAGGGTAGGGTAAGGAATGGTAAGGTAGGTAGGTAGGGTTGGGTAGTGTAGATAGATAGATAGATAGATAGATACGTGAGTAGGTGGGTGTGTAGGGTAGGGTAAAGTGGGGTAGGTATGGTAGGGTAAGGTAAGTAGGTGCATGATAAATAGATAGATGAAAAGACAGATTAATAGAAAAGTTGATAAAAAAAGATAGATTGATGGGCAGGCAGATATACAGATCAAAATATAGAGAGATAAATATAGATAAATATGCATATTGAAAATTTTGAAAAAATACAAAATGATACACACTTATCATCATACCATGAGTCGATCTATAACTAAAGTATCGATATAAAACCAACAAAGAATAAAATAAGTTATAATAAGTTAATAACGAGTTATTCCATGGCCATGAATTAAACTTTCTATCTATCAGTTCAAATTCATAAATAATTCTACCCTTACCTGATCTATTGCTATCTATCAATTCAATAATTCTACCCTTACCTGATCTATTGCTATCTATCAATTCAATAATTCTACCCTTACCTGATCTATTGAAAGAATTGTAATGATCGAAGTTGAAACTCTTGACGTATCCTGAAGACTCTGTGTAGTACTGAAGACATCCGGTAGGTGCTGCAGGGGGGGGGGGGTAGGAGAGGGGGTATGGGTGAGGATAATGGGTAGGGGAGATAATAGGAGGAGTTGGGGTGAGGGTAATAGGTGTGGGGGTTGGGGAGATAATAGGAGGTGGGGGGTGGAGAGAGGGGGTGGGGGTGAGGGTAATAGGTGTGGGGGGTTGGGGGAGATAATAGGAGGTGGGGGTGGAGAGAGGGGTGGGGTGAGGGTAATAGGTGGGGGGTTGGGGGAGATAATAGGAGTGGGGGGTGGAGAGAGGGGGTGGGGGTGAGGGTAATAGGTGTGGGGGGTTGGGGGAGATAATAGATGGAGAGAGGGGGTGGGGGTGAGGTAATAGGTGTGGGGGTTGGGCGGGGGTGGGGGTGAGGGTAATAGGTGTGGGGGGTTGGGGAGATAATAGGAGGTGGGGGGTGGAGAGGGGGTGGGGGTGAGGGTAATAGGTGTGGGGGGTTGGGGGAGATAATAGGAGGTGGGGGTGAGAGAGGGGGTGGGGGTGAGGGTAATAGGTGTGGGGGGGTTGGGGGAGTGTGGGGTTGGGGTATATAATAGGAGGTGGGGTGGGGGTATAATAATAGGAGGTGGGGTTGGGTATAATAGGAGGTGGGGTGAGGGAGATAATAGGAGAAGGAGAGAGAGTAATAGTGAGAGGTGTGGGGGGTAATAGGAGAGGGGAAGGATAATAGGATGTGGGGGTGAGATTAATTGGTATGGAGGGTTAGGGGGTCATAGGTGTAAGGGTGTGTGGGGGTGGTGGTAATAGGAGAGGGAATGGGGTGAGGGTTATTGGTATGGGGGGGGGGTCATAGGTGTAAGAGGTGTGGGAGGTAATAGGAGAGGGAATGGCGGTGAGGGTAATGGGTATGGGGTGGGGGTTATAGGTGTAAGGGGTTTGGGACGGTAATAGGAGAGGGGGGTAGAAGGTGAGGGGAATGGGTGTGAGGAATTGGGGGAGGTAATGGAAGAGGGGGTGGGGGAGAGGGTAATAGTGAGAGGTTTGGTAATGGAGAGGGGGAAGGATAATAGGCATGGGGGTGGGGGAGATAATAGGAGGTGGGGTGGGGGTGATAGGAGAGGGGGATGGGGGTGAGAGTAATGGGTGTGAGGTGTTGGGGGATGTAACAGGAGAGGGGGGGAGTGGTAATAGGACATGGGGTGGGGGTAATAGGAGAATGGGTGTGGGGTAAGAGGTAAGGCAAGAGATTTGGGATTGTAAGGGGAGACAGGTAAAGAATAATGGAGAAATAAGGGAATGATGGGAGAGGAAAGGAGGGAAGGGAGGGAAAGAAGAGAAGATCAAAATTTAATTTGATAATGATACATAATAATGATAATTGTAATGATGATCATAATACTGATAATGATGATAATACTGATAATGATACTACTACTACAACTACTACTACTACTACTACTACTACTAATAATAATAATAATGATAATAAGAATGGTACTAATCATACTAATAAAGATAATTATGGTAGTAATAATATCATTAATAATAATGATAATGATAATTAGAATGATAATATCAATGACGATGAGCATGATATTGACGATGATCATCATAATTATGATAAGATAGATAATATCAATCTTGATGACGACGATAATGATAATAACAAAGAAAATGTAATACATGATAACAGACGTCTAGCATAATTTCGGAATCTCACCTCCCTCAAAAAAAAAATAATAATATAATAAATAAAAATAAAATAAAAAACGTAAGTGACCTCGAAAATCAGCAATTTAATCTCTTCATTCAAGACGAAGAAAAAGAAGAAGACAAAAGGAAAGAAAAGAAGAACAAAATGAAAAGGAAAAAATAAAGAGAAAAAAAGGAAAAAGAAAACGAAGAAGAAGAATGAAAAGGAAAAAGAAGTAGAGGAACTAAAAGGCAAAAAAAGTAAAAAAGGAAAAAAAAAGAACACAAGAAGAAGAAGAAGAAAAAGAAAAGAAGTAAATTAAAAATAAAAGCAAGAAGAACAAAAGAGGAAAAGAAAAAAGGAAAAAGAAAAAGAAGAACAAAAAGGAAGGAACATATAATAGAAGAAGAAGAAGGAGAAAAAGAGAAGGAAAGAATAAAGGAGAAAAAGAGAAAAAAGAAAAAGACAAAAGAAGGAAAGAAAAAAAGACGAAAAAAAAAAGGAAAAACGAAGAAAAAACAAAGGAAAAACGAAAGAATTTTTTTTTTTAAATGAGGGGACATTGCCGTCCTTACCTCTATCCTCAGAATCGCAAGGAATCTGAGTGACCTTGATATTCCACCATCGAAGGTCAGGCGGGGTCACCGACCTGTCAACTGTGACCTTGAGGGCGCTGCAAGTTGGGTCAACGTCGATGTACACTGGAGGTCGAGAAGGGGGGAGGTCAAATTTCTTGAAGAATAAATAGGAGAGTGGGTGTAGTATAAATATATGTGGGTGTGAAATATGTGTTCATTTGGATGTGGATGCTTGGAATAATAAATGGGTGTAGGACGGGTTTATTTTGTTCTAGTTTTGTTTGTGTATCTGGATAAGAAGTTTTTTTTTTTATTCAATTTTATCTTTATCTCTTTCTAGCCCTCTCTGTCTTCTTTGCCTTTTTCACTTCCACCGTTTCCTTGTTTATTCCCTTTTCCTTTCCGTCTCCGTTCACCGATAACTTCTTCAGTCCTTACCCTATTCTTCCCTCCCTTCATCTCTCCCTTCTTGTTTCTCTCCATTTCCCTCTCCCTTCTTTACTGCACTCCCCCTTTTTCTCTCTCCCTTCTTCCCTTCCTCCTTCGCTCCTAACCTTTCCCTCTCCCTCTCTATTCTCTCCTCTCTTCTTCACTCCCTCCCTGTCCGTCTCCACTTCACCTTCCCTTCTTTTCTGTGCTTCTCCTCTCTCCCCTTCCATTCCTTCATCCTTCACCACTCCCTCCATTTTTCTTCTCCACCCCCCCTCCCTTTCCATTTTCCCTCCTTTACTTCCTCCCTTTCCCCTTCCATTCCCCCATCCTCCACCACTCCCTTCATTTTCCTCTTCACCCCCTCCTTT